GCTGGGACTACAGGACATGCATCGACCACCATGCCTGGATAATTTTTTCTATTATTTTAGTTGCCCAATTAAATTTCTTTCTATTTTTTTTTTTTTTTTTTGGTAGAGACAGCAGTCTCACTCTTGCTCAGTCTGGTTTCAAACTCCTGACCTTGAGCGATCCTCCCACCTCAGCCTCCCAGAGTGCTAGGATTAAAGGCGTGAGCCACCGCGCCCGGCCTCATTAGCTTTTCTTACCATAATATTAAACAACCCCTGTAAAAGAAATGAAGGCACATTCTTTAAATCTCTCCTCAACTGTCTGCTTTCCTTGCCCCTTCCCTGAGATCTATTTGTTCAGAAATATATATGTATATATATATTATATACATATATATATATAATAAAGAGGAAAAGAGAAAAAGTAGAGTACTGAGACATGAATTTTTCATCTAAATGAGAAAAAAAAAAACAGACTCAAAAAACTGGCCTTTGTTTTTTCATGACATTGATTACATAACTGCAGCCTGAACTCGGAGGACAGAGAAGTTGGCAAAGCCACTCGCCCACCATGAGCAGGAGGAGCTGCTGGACATGTCCAGCGAGTGCAAATGGCAAGAAGCCAAAGTGGACTGGAAATCGCTTTGGGCTTTGAGTTTTATTTCTCCGGAGTGACAGGAAGACCAGCTGGGAGACCAGGAGGTCTCAGGCCCAGCCCGGGCTCTGTCCCCGCTGCAGCCAGACCCACACACAGTCGCATCCTACATCCCACCTCTGCATGCCCGCCCGCCCTCCACTCTCCCTCCAGTCCCCGCTTTCCTCCGAACGATTCCATCTGTCCCAAGACCAGTTTCCTCTCCTTTGCTCTGTTTTCTTTGATGAGCCCATGCAGAGCGGAGACAGAGCCCGGAGTACGGGTGGCTGGGGAACACGCAGGGACACCAGCCACTGTAGTCAGCTCCGCTCCCGCCGCCCAAAAGTCGTCAAAACAAGACCCACACCATAAACCATACAAATATCTGGAAGGGAGAGAGGATTCAAGCTTTAAAGGGGAGAAGAGGCTGGGGTGCAGCACCCCAGGCAGTCGGGGGCCGTTCACTGAGAAAGGGTAGAGCTTGGGGGCCGGTCCCCGGCTCCTGTACCCAGTAAGAGCGAGAGTCAGGGGCCAGGCGCAGTGGCTCACACCTGTAATCCTAGCACTCTGGGAGGCCGACGCGGGCGGATTGCTCAAGGTCAGGAGTTCGAAACCAGCCTGAGCAAGAGCGAGATCCCATCTCTACTATAAATAGAAAGAAATTAATTGGCCAACTAATATATATAGAAAAAAGAGCTGGGCATGGTGGCACATGCCTGTAGTCCTAGCTACTCGGGAGGCTGAGGCAGCAGGATCACTTGAGCCCAGGAGTTTGAGGTTGCTGTGAGCTAGGCTGACGCCACGGCACTCACTCTAAGCTGGGTAACAAAGTGAGACTCTGTCTCAAAAAAAAAAAAAAAAAGAGCGAGAGTGAGAGTCAGGCTTAGTTTCAGCAGGCTTTTTCTGCAAACCACCCGCTAGGCTGCCCCTCGGAGGGAGGCTGGGGGTGACGGTGCCAACATGCTGGGCTCTCAGGCTCTCGCGTACCCCCTGTTCCTTGCATTTGAGCAGAGGACTCTGCTCTACCTTAGAAAAGTGTGACGACTTCTGTTTTGACCTGTGTTGGTCTCCCAGAAAAATCTGGAAATGGAACCCCTTCTATGCCTAAGACTCCCGGGAAATATTTCAGCAGGTCTCAGCTTCACGCCCGGCCTAGCCCAGGAGGTACACATGCATGTCCTTTCATTCAAGTAGCACAGTCCCGGTCACAGGCGCTGAGATTGGGTAATGGACAAAAAGACACAGAATCTAATCCTCTAGAAACTTACTTTCTGGGGGCAGGAGAGGGGAGTCAGAAAACTAAAAACACCAAAGGAATAGGAAACTCTATGGGGTGTTAGGCTGCACAGAGAAGGTGACACGTGAGCAAAGAAAGTCCTGAAGGACAGAGCAAGGGAAGGTGCGGATGTCTAAAGTCAAGATTTACGGGGACAACAAAGCTTCCTGGGCGGCTCACACTCTGCCTTGCCCTGAGGCACGGGGAGCAAAGGAAAATGAGAAGGGAGGAGAAGAAACGGAAACCGCATCACCCACTGTACTTGTTGCATCTGGTGGACCCTGGAAACCGTCCGCGTATTTGGTTACCGTGTTTACACAGCCGGCAGGACACACACTGTTCACTCCGGGCTCCCTGGAGCCGCAGGAATGGTCCCTGCTTTCCTGGATTCCTGAGGCCCCCGCATCCGGGTGCTGGAGCTCCACCCCACGCTGGGGCTCAAGAATTCCCCCGGGGTTGTCCCAAGACAGGGGCCTCCAGGACCATCCCAGGCGGGGCCAGGTCTTTATCTGAACCAAGTGCTCGCCTGGGTGTTGTTGAGGCAGGAGGGAAGGCATGGGAATCGTTGGCTGCACCAAGGGGAGAGAGGTAGCAAGCTGAGCCGGCTGCTGGACTCTGAGAATCACGTCAAACACTGGCCGCAGGGCCTGACCCATGCACAAGGCACGACGAATGTGGCTTCTGATTAACGACAACCACTTGCTGCAACTCTGTTCCAGGTACCTGAAGTTTGTGCCTGCCTACCAAGTATGTGACATGAAGGGGTGTTTTTTTCCATGCAATCCTTTCTCTTTCCTTTTTCTTAACCAATTTTTAGGATGCAACCGCTGAGGATTAGAATGGTTCCATACCTCGCTGACACAGTTAAGAAGTGGTGGCCGGAATTTGAACTCAAGCCCATTCAGTCCTAAAACTTGAGTTCTCGATCTTTGTGCTCCAACCTCTACCTACTTTTAAGAGATGAGTCCAGGAAACACCTCCTGGCCTGGTGAGCAAGCCGACCCTTCTCTTTCTGATTTAGAACATCAGGAAAGAGGATGGTTTGTGTGGTCAAGATTCAAGGAAGGAGGTTATGCATGTACATGAACTTCAATAACTTCTAGTAATTATTTCCAGAGAGGTTGTATTTCTTTTGCCTGCCAAGGACAGTACCTAGGATGTCGGGAAGAGCAGAGGGTTTAGAGAATTTAGACGAGTATGGGTGCCACAGCCAGAAGCACCCAGTAGGTCCTCAGTCTTATAAGCACGGCTGCATCTGTGATCCCTATGCAAATCACGTGATTTGCAAAGCATCTCGGACCAAATATTTATAGCATTGCTGGGACTCATTTCTCATTTCAGTGGCATGGAGAGCTGTCATAAGAAAGGCTGGAGTGACCTGTGGCCTCGGTATGAAAATAAAGAAACAAAAGGCCCAGGAGGTGAGAGGTCCTATCTGAAGTCACTCCCCGAGCAAGCGCAAGAGCCAGCAGCCAGGGGAAACCCAGCTCTCTGCCCGTGTCACATGCCACCCAGCTGAGCGGGCAGGGAACAGGACAGCCTTCTTTAGCCCCCGGGCTAAAGTCATCAGGCAAGCTAACAAGGACTCACACTCAGAAGACAGAAAATGTTCCAGCTCACCCTAACTCTTCCCCACCACCTGTCACCTGAGCACCCCAGCCGCAGAGCTGGGTCCAGACACATCCTGGGACGAGAACCCAGATAGACCTTTCAGGCCGGGGCTGGGCCCCCTGGCCCCGTCTGAGGAGGCAAAAGCAAACGCTCCCTCCTCCCAAGAACTGACCCAGCAGTGGGTGGACCGGCCTGGGCCAAGTCAAACAGGGACATGGCACCTGAAGGCATTATTGACAAACTGGGTGTGTTAAGGGACCCAAATGGGCTGCGCAGAGAGTGTAGGAGAGCAGAGAACTTCCAGACTCTCTCCTCCGGCCCCGGCTACCCCTGGAAAAAGGCCCAGGTGTTTCACCTCCCTCCCGCCCTGCTTCCCTGCACCGCTCCGAGAGCCCGGCTGGCTGTTTAACGAGGCAGGTTGAGAATTTTCAGCCTCTAACTCATGTGTTCTAATCCTATTAAATATGCACCGGCTTCAAAACTCAGCTTTTTCAAAACTGGCCTCCCCACCCCCACCCCCCCCCGCCCCTCCCACCTCGCCTTACTCAGTGCGACTTGCTCCATTCCAGCTTGAAAAGCCATTGCTCAGTTGTTGGCAGGGCTCCCACCGGCGTTTTTGCAAGGATTTGGGCTGTGATTCAGCTACCTGCAGCTGTTCCTCAGTTACCACCCACGTAAAGGAATTTCTGATATTAAAACGGGTGACAAACTTCCTCCCCCCCTTCCCCCAACACATTAGTTTGATTGACATCCACAGCCCAAGCCACCAAGTTCACCCTCGCTGGCTCTCCCTGTTCAGTCGACGATACGTTTAATTCTACCGACCAGCCCCTCGTATGCCATGCCCTGCCCACACCTCCTCTCGCTCCCGAAAAAGACAACTGATGTCCCCTTTGGGGAATATTTAAAAAACAATCTACTGGGTCTCTCCAGAACGAAACTGTGTCCTCTCTTCATTTATTCTCAAATTAAATCTTCTTCCCACCATTGAAATAAACCTTCCTCATTTCTCCCCCAGTGTGGAATGCCATCCAGTGGCCGTGGGGAGAGGAGGGCAAGGTGAAGAGAGAGGGCTGACGCCAACGATCCAAGTTCACGTGGTTCCACGGAGCCTTTCAGAGCTAAGGCTGGAGGCCACCTGCGTCTCTCTGAGCGTGCAGAGATGCCAGGGTGTTCGTTTGGACCAGATGGAATTGTCTGGAGCAGAGCGTACTGAGCACAGTAGCCACAAAGCTGGGCACAGGCCGGAGCTGCCCGGCTTCAGCTACTTTCTTTTGTGTGTGTGTTGGGGTTGGCGCTGGGGGGCGGGAGGGGGCGGCATGGGCAGGCGGGCATGCGAACAGTGCAGATGGCCCTGCAAGTCGACTGCCCATCCTCCTCCTGGCAGAAGTCCCATCTCTCCCTGAGCTCGGCAACTACATGCTTCCTTTTATAGGAGGGTATAGCAGAAACCAACACGACACCCACAAAAGCCTAGACTTTAGCATTCAAGGTACCTACCTCCAGAGTGGACACTCCAAAGCAGGCTTTTGATCACTGACCACACTGGAGTCCCTGGACACCGAGTCCCCAGGCTTTCTCTGGGTTTCTCTAGTCTGCCGGGCAGACACTCTGCTGGGGAACAATAGAACAGCCCCATCAGTCCCATCAACCCCAAGGCTGTGTCCCCTTGCTTCTGGGCAGTAGCCAGTAATGTGACCCTTCAAGGCAGTGCCAAACCCCCCTGTTGGGAATTCAGCCAATCTTGGGGCTCTTCAGGGAAGAAAAATTCCTTTCCCTGACCTCTGCAGGTGATCAGATTGAGGTCCCTGCAGCTTGAAATTTGATTTGATCTTTGATCTCTGCTTGCACAGCTGCAATGGTTATTATGTGCTATAAAGTGTCCCGGCGCCCTGCCCCACTCACCTGCCTTCCCATAGCGAGTGCTTGGGGCCAGGTATTCCTGAGCAGGGACAAAATATTACTTCTCTGTTTTTCTCATCCTCTGCTCCCTCCATTTCAGCCCTGCCTTCTCATTCCCCTCATTCCCAGGACTTAACCTCAAATTCCAAGACTGTGGACATTTTCAAGTCCTTCTAAATGAGAGCATGTGCTTTTCAGGAAAAAAAAAAAAAGTTTACATGTTAACAGCCAAATATTTGACCAAGGTTATAGTCCCAGAAGAATGCTGCATATGTCTAGAGAAGTTCTTATAGGACAGTGGTCTTCAAAGTAAGTTTTCCTGGGAAGTTCACTTCTCTGTCAGGGCGAGATCATTCTGTGGCAGGGAGATACATCTAAGGATGCGATTTTAATACGATTCGTCAGATCTACTTCCTTTTTTATTAGTAGCAACTGACATAATTATAGGTGATATTTATTAAAAGCTTACTGTGCTTTGGACACCATGCTAATTGCTCTACCTGCATGGATACTTTGAAGCCTCACAAATTCTATGAGGAATATACTATGATTCTCTCGTTTTCCAGATGAGGAAACGGAAACTCAGAGGGGTTAAGTAGCTGGTTTAAGATTACACAAGCAGTGAGCCAATGAAGTTGGGATCCCCCATGGGTCCGTCTTTGATCTAGTTCTTAACCAAATTCATATGCGTTCTCTCTTTGGTGTTCTCTGCCTACACTGCAAAATTACACTATCAGGAGAGCAGAGATGTCTACATTGTCCACAGCCCGAGCAAAATCGATTAAAGATCTATTGAGCGGCTACCTTGATTTTAATCTAAAAATAAGATAGACATGTTTTCACTTTTTTTTTTTTTTTGGAGACAGGGTCTCACTCTGTTGTCAGGGCTAGAGTACCATAGCACCATCATAGCTCACAGCAACCTCAAACTCCTGGCCTCGAGCCATCCTCCTGCCTCAGCCTCCCAAGTAGCTGGAATTAAAGATGCGTACCAGTATGCCCGGCTAATTTTTTCTATTTTTGTAGAGATGGGATTTTGCTTTTGCTCTGTCTGGTCTAGAACTCCTGATCTCAAGCAATCCTCTTGCCTCGGCCTCCCAAACTGCTGGGATTACAGGTGTGAGCCAGCATACCCAGCCAACATCTTTTTATTATTATTATTATTCAAATCAAAATTTTATTCACCAGCTTAAAAATACAATTCAAGGATTAAGTCTACCTTTTTAAAGAAACACCCACATTGATATAATCTGGGAACTTTCATACTCATGTCACTCCTGGGTCCCTACCCTGATCTTACCTTTGGGCCTAGACCGGGTAAGAAGATTTCATTGCTATTCTGTGTCTAGCAAAGTCAAATGCTTCTCTGTTGACCTTCTGATTCAAGTCTGCTTAATTAAATGCTTAGCTAGCCTTTTTTTTTTTTTTCTTTTTTTTTATCTTTTAGTTTCCATGAAGTGCCAGGCACCAAGAAACCACTGCAGGTGTTTTAAAGCTGCGACTGTCATTAGTCATTTCAAGGAAGGGGACCATTCCTGTGCCTGCTCAGGTCCCCATCTCACTCCTCCACTGAGGGTTTCATTTCCTCATATTTTAGCTCCGTTCACTCTCTGATGTCCACCTGCAATGTCCTTACGGAGGAAGCCTGAAAAGAATTTGTGTTGTGCTGCCTCTTTGCCTACTGCACGAACCTGAAAGTCTCTCTTCCCGTTGAGAAGTTGTCCCCAGCCTCCTGCCCCTCACATCTTCCCTTGTGTCATTTTGTACTGGGCTGAGGTCTGTCTTAAGTTTCCCTCATTTCTGATTGATAGCTTTGGTGGTCTTTGCTTACTAAAATATGACGGCATGCGTTCTCTTAGCAGCTAGCAACCTCGACAGTGGAACGATCACAAAGAACTGAGTTACAAAACCTTGATGTAAACAAAAAACAATGTCCTTACAAAGGAGGCCACAGTGGCCTTTCCACTCAAAAGCATTTTTCCAATTTTTTGGTATCAACATTTTCAAACTTTCGGGAGAACTAGAAGAGCCATATGGGGACCATCCATAGAGTTAGCCCCTGGACTCAGTAATTGTTAATATTTTTATCATATTTTCCTTTATTTCTGTGTGTGAGATTCTGGATTGCTTTGTTATGCTGTGTTGCTGAACCATTTGAAGATAAGTTGTAGACTGCAGGACACTTCGCCTCTCCCGGGTCCAGAACACCAGCATCCCCCTTAGTAAGTAACCCCATCCCCCTGATGCACCCAAGAGACTAGAACATGTTGTTCTCATTATCTGCTACCTAGCCTACGTTAAAAGCCCCCAGTTATCTTAAAAATGTCTTTTAGAGCTGTTTTGCTTTAATTTTTTCTTTCTGTTTTCTACTCTGCACTGGATGTAAGGTGACAACTGTCCTGGTTTGTCTGGACATGTCCCAGTTTTAGCACTGAGGGTCTGGGCAGCTTCCTCCTCGACTCTGTTCTAGGCACTCTGGGATGGTCCATCAACCTCACCAGGCGCCAATCAAGTCTCATGCATCATACGTGTTTATTATATCTATTTGGCATTTAGTCTCTTTTAATAACATACGTATCCAGCTCTTACCCAGAAAAGTCAAGTTTCTAAACTTAGCGTGCAAAGAAGTCTCCCAACACACAGGGTGACAGTGGTCGGGGGTGGCGGCGGTGGTGTCCACGGAGAACCAGCCCAGACATCTCTCGCCTGCTTGCCAATAGATCTAGCCTGACCGGTGACAATCTCTGCAAAGGAACCCACTTTCCGCCACCCCAGCAGCAGTGTTTCCCTTTGTTTCATAATGGTCTGGTTTGGTGTCGTGCTTCAGACGTGTTCATGGTCGAGCTGACAAATGGAACCGGCAGCACCGGCAGCACGTGAAGCCCCTGAAGTTGAGCCATCTGCGGCGGCCCTTCCTCATGAGCCCAGGGTCAAGGCGAATGTCAGGGAGCCTGCTCCTCTCTCATGCCACACCGAGGACAGCTCGTCCCTGGCGGTTCTGCCCGCAGAGTCCTATGTAGGAAACGTTGTGGGAAGTAAGTGAGACCCGGGGTTCAAGGCCCAGCTCTGCATATAATTGAACAGGGCAACCTTGGTCAAAGCATCTCTCTTCTTCAGGCCTCAGTTTCCTGGTCCATAAAGCCATGAGCTGCTGCTATGGCCTAAGAGACCACAAAGAAAGGCTCCTTTCTTCTCGGTTGGCCACATTTCAGGCCCTCCCGGGAATGAACACCTGGGATCCCAAGGCCTCCCTTAGATTAGAGTTAGAATCTGCTTACTTGTCTTCACCTCCTTGACGCAGACCTGACAAATCCAGCGATGAGCAGGCTTTGAGGGTTGGCTGTGCTCTGTTCTCGAAAAGTGCAAGGGAGACACATGGTCTTACCCCTTGAGGATGGTTCCTTCCACCCCGTCTCAGGAAGTGCAAAGAACTCACTTCTCCTCACCCAGTGTCTTTGTGAGGTGGAGGGAAACACTGGAAGTATGGTTAGATGCTGCCTCTAAACTAGCCACGTGCTCTGCACTCCAGACCTGGGCTTGAGCTGCCTTCTCAGTGTCTCCAGCTGGACGTCCAGGAGGCATCTCAACCTTCAGGTGTCTCCAGCAAACCATTCCTCCCAGCCTTCCCCAAGCATCGAGCAGCAGCACTGATCATCCGGTGGCTCAAGACAAAATCCCAGCAGTCATTCTTGACTCTTCCATTTTAGCCACATCCTGAATCCAACCCACGAGCTCCACCTGCAAAGTACGGCTGAGTTGGCTTCCTCTGCCTCAGCTCACCTGCTGCCCCTCCCATTAGAACCGCCACTGCCTTTTGCCCAAGCTACTGCCACGACATCCTATATGTCCAGCTTTCACTCTTGCTGCCTTCCTGTCTAATCACCACTCAGCAGCCACTGGGGGATCTTTTAACAACCTTAAATCTAGCCAGTTCACTCCCTTTTCCGAAATCCGCCAAGATTTCCCACCGCACTGATGACAAATTCTCAACACCTCGCCTTGGCCATCCTCTTCCCCCGTTTTCCTCTCCCGTCTTGCCCCATCCCATGGTCCCCTTAGTGACCACACGCCAACTGCATGAGGCCTCCTGCCCTCCCTCAAACCTGGGCGTCAGATCCTTCACTCCTGCTGCTCTTGGCACCTGGGCTGCACTTCATCTCAGTGCCACCCTCACCACCTACCTGCCCCCCTGCACCCACCCTTGCTGCCCCACGTGACTTCTTTCCAACTTTCCCCACTCACACCCCATCACGAATCTCGGGCACTCGCTTGGGGTCTGCACCACGGGCGCCCCGTGAGAGCAGACATGAAATAGTTTGGATATTTTAACGCTTCCTAATCTCATGTTGAAATCTGATGCCCAGTGTTGGAGATGGGGCCTAGTGGTCATGCGGGTGGGTCCTCGTGGCCTGGTGCCCTCCCCATGGCAATGAGCGAGTGGGCAGGAGAGCCGGTTGTTTAACCGAGCCTGGCACCCCCTCCGCTCGCTCTCTCTTGCTCGCTCTCTCACCATGTGACGAGCCTGCTCCCCTTTCTCCTTCCGTCATGAGTGGAGGCTTCTGGAAGCTCTCATCAGAAGCAGATGCCAGCACCATGCTTCTTGCACAACCAGCAGCACCATGACCCAAATAAACCTCTTCTCTTTATAAATTGCCGGGCCTCACGTACTCCTTTACAGCAGTGCACGCAGACTGACTCAAAGCACGTGTCCGTGCTGTTCGCCAGCGCACCCCGAGTGCCCGGG